TATTTAAACGGAGGATTGTGAGGTGCGCGTGTGCCCTTCCTCACTCCTAACCGAACCCCCGAACCCCGATCTTTGCGCAGACCCGTTTTTGGTGACTTGTCCCACCTTATAATTTAGATGAGTGGCGACTCCCTTTTCTTATACATTTTTACACTTGATTTTTCAATTTATTTTGAAAAAATCTCAAGTGGTCGTCAACAACAGTCTGGGAGGCAAGAGGCTTAGAGTCCCAAGAAGCTGTCTGAGCCAGGTTCATACTTTTGTCTGTGCATAAATAAGTTGATTTGCTTTCATGTGTTTATTCCAAAATGAGAGCAAGTTTGATCGAGTGGCCATAACTGGCTGTGGATGGCTGGATGCGCTCAGACAGAGTGCCATGACTGGCTGTGGATGGCTAGATGTGCTCAGACAGAGTCAGCTGTGAAAAAGTTGGGAATACATGCTGCAACCATCTTGGGATTTAGCAGATTTTGCACGTGGCCTTTGGACTCTGACAGGTAATTCAAAATTTAAACACTTGGATTTATTCCCATAAAACCAAGTGTTGGGGGGCATTGTTTACACCTAAAATAAACCAATAGGGTAAGGCCACGTGTCAAGGTAAAGCCCAATTATCAAGAAAATCAATAGGCTGGATTTGGGCTAAGCTGGCTTACAATTTAATGGCCCAGACGAATTTTTAAGGAGGTTGAATCTTAGGTGGCAAAAGATAAGATTGGATTTGGTAGTTTGAGTTTGATTTAAAATGGGAAATTGAGGATTTTTAAGTAGTTATCTTTAAAGTTGTTGGAGATAAGGTTAAATAAAAATTATTGGATAATTGTCAAACAACTTCCAAACCTGCAATCCCATTACCAGATCATGGAGGAACAGTATCGAAAATTGAGGAACAGTACCGAAGATCATGGAGGAAGTTACCAACACCGAAGAAAATAAATACAGAGAGAAGAGAACAGTTTCAAGGCCTGCCCAACACACACACAGACTGCCCAGAGCATGTTTTCAGTTTTTAGACTGCATTTTCCAAATTTCAGTAATAGTTTCCAGATTTTCCAGATTAGTTCATAGCCTTAGCCTAGGTTTGTTCATCTTTGTTCATATTTTCTCTCGCAAATTCCAATTTAGATTAATTTTTAAGCATTTGGAAGCAACTTAGCCTTCAAAACAGGTTTGCCCTTTTGATTCGGTTAGTTCTTCTTCCTTTTATGGATTTAGTTATGTTATTCGTTCATGTAAATAGATTGAACATTTTCTACCTTTGTTCTTTTGTTTCTGCACAATATCCATACATGTAGTTTGTTTAATTTCAATTTCTAGATTTAAATTTATAAGTTTCCAGACTTTAATCATTTTATAATTTCTTCTTCAATTTTAGTTATCATTATGGGCTGCGTAGTAGAAACCATTGTCTGTCATTTTACTTTTTCTGTTGTTTGCGAATTTAATCTTTATGGCATGTTATTTTTTGTTATTTACTTCATGTTAATTTAATTGCTTTAGGATATTGCATTTATTTTAGGTTTTGTAGCTTTTATTACACTTGTTTGGTTGTGAAGTCCTTGGAGATTTCCAAGGCAATTATTAACCCATTTTGCAGAACTCTACCCTCTGTTTTGCAACATCGTCTGGGGCGCAATTCATTTCACAGACATTCTTTCCAGCCATCCTATTGGAGGTCGACCGTTGGAAAAGAGAAGGGTCGTCTGGAAAATCCTATTTTCTTGTTTTTAGACAAAACAAGTAGCACGCCTAACATCCAACTCACGTGGTAAAGGCCGGCTGAGGATTGTTGAGGAAACAGTCAGTAAGCACAAAAACTATTACAATACGCTTTTACTTCACTTTTTTGAATTGATCACTTCACTTCTATTTTATTATTTTCACCCATTATTATAGATTAAATATAATTAATATTTGTTATTTTTATTTTTTTTAATACAAACACAATAAAACAAACTTTTCTTCTCACTTTTCCTAATAGACTAGTTTCTTCCTACTTTCCTAAAAGGAACACATTAAACATTCTCTGTTAACTTTCTTAAAATCCAACTTCTTAGCAAACATAAAAAGGTTAATCATTTCAATAAAAATTTATTTTATAAAATTTAATAATTTTTTATAAAATACTTTTTAATTTTTCACATAACACTTTTTCAATCACTTTTTTTAAAAAAATGTAATAAAATTAACCTTTAATCAAACACACTCTTTGATGACAACTTATCGTGTTTGGCTTAATTGTGAGGAGTTTTATACTAGTCAAACTAATAAAAGTATTTAGAATATAAACAAAAATAATATCAAAAGTACTTGCATAGAAGTATAGAAGTATAGGGGTTTTTTTTTGGATAGTTATAGTTTCATGTAATTTAAGATTAATTTTTTCTTTAGAATCTTGAGAGACCTCTTTATTAACTTAATACATTTAAAGAAATTAATTTATTTTAAATATTAACTTCAAAACTTAAATTCCAACCTTATCCTACAAATTACAAAATAATATTTAATTAAATTGAGAAGGACAATTCATTTGCAAATTGTTTTTTTTTTTTTTTGTAAATAGAAAAAGAAACATTAAAAAGAAATACGTATTATATCCTTCCGGAAATGAAGCCCCATAACTATTTTACATTCATTAATGAGTTCGACTACTTTGACATTTACTGAATGGGTCTACCCAGAGTAGCTCGGGCTCTACTTGATAAAGGGTGGGCTGGAACCCATTAACCCAATCCCAAAACATCAAATAGATTGAGCTATTCTTAAACAAGGTTTCATGGGCCAGAGATCAGACCCCAAACTAGACCCATTTGAATTTTCTTCTAAATTTTAGTTTTTATTTTAAGAGTATCTTATTTTACTACCTAAATTGTTTAAAAATATAAAATACTTTTTTTAATCATTTTAAAGTATAAAAATTAAAAGAAATAATACAATAAGAAGATTTGAAGAGTAGTTCACCAAATACAAGGAAAAGGCTCACTATAGTTTAAGTTTTTAATTTTTTTTCTTTTTAATCAATCAGATATTAATATTTATTAGTTGAATTTCTAAAAAAATTAAGAAAAAAAACTATAAAACTATAGATGCATTTGGGATTAGTGTGAGGTACTGTGGGTATGATCATAACTGTGGCTATACCTAATTATACTATATTGTAATTGTAGTTGAAAGATATCTTGGAGTTTGGTTGTTATTTTTTTAAATATTATAAATGAAATATAATAAATTTTATTAATCATTAATTAAAATTTAAAAAATATTGTATGATATATAATTACTAAAATAGATAATATTACTACTTCTTAATAATTTAAGCTTTTAGGTTTTTTTATGATAGGTGTTTTTCAAGGGTCTTGTGGGAGAGCAACTCAAAAGGTGAAAATGGGTTTTTAATTGTTTATGAAATCTTCAAATAGATGAAAAGTTAAGTTTAAATAAAATATTATAAAATTATGATATAATTGAATTAAATGAAATTAAGTTTTAATGAGTAATTTTATAATTATATTAAATATTATGTATTATTCATAAAAACCATCGTAAAAAAGTTTTGAAATAAGGTTTTTGACTTTATATATAAAATTATAGCGAATCTATTATGACTTTATGTAGCTTTTGGAAAAAGTAGTTTAACAAAAATTACCAAACAAATATATATATCTAAAAGTATTGTGCGACTATAAGACAAAAAGTCCAAACCACAATCCCAAACGCACCCTATATTGTTTCAATAAAGTAACATCCGAAAAACCAAAATAATCTCATCCATACTTAAAAAAGAGGTTATTTTAATCTCTTTTTAATGGAAATTTATTGAAATGATATAGTTTTAAACCTTTTTTTTTCTAATTTTTAGAAGTTCATATTTCCAATCAATAAAATCTAAGATAAAAACTATTAAATTTTAAAACTTGAAACAAGAATAATTAAATTCAAGACCAATTACATTCAAAAATAAAAATTAAAACACAACCAATAATAATTTTTACAATAAAAAGCTAAATTTTGGAACTTATATATAGTTCTTTTATTTTAGAAAAAATGATTATTCAACAAAATGAAGCAAGTTGTTTGGTAGAGTAAGTATTTTTCCTGCACTAAGAAGTTTGGTATTCAAATCTTCCTGTTGATTAATCCATCTTTGCTTAATTTAAAATTAAAAGAAAGGTGGTCACCAAGACTAGTCTATTATAATAACTAGGATTCTCATTTGATGGAAAGATGTTTTTATTCACATATATGAATTTATAAATGAAAAATGATATAGGTACATCTCAAACCAACACACTCAATACACATTTTTGGTTTAGTTGTAAATAAATGGTTTAAAATATTATTTGACAGTTGTGTAAAAGTTATCTTTACTTATCCAAGCTATATTTTGTACTCCAATAGGGATTCCAAGCATAATCCCTAAACAAAATTAGAGCTGAGTCCCTTTAAATTTGGAAATGGAAAATTTTAAAAGTGGCATCTCCACCAACCTTGACCTACCACACTTAAGATCCCCATTTTGGAAACAAAATTAGAGACAAAGTCCTTCCCATTTGGAATTAAAACTGCTCGAGGTGACATCTCTAACAACCTTGAGTTGCTATACTAAAGATCTTCATTTTTGGAATCATGAAGACAATAGGGCAAAACTCAATACGTTTATGAAAGCAATGTAGTAGCTTGAACCAA